CGCTTTCGGTGGACCCCAATAGGAAAAAGCAACGTATTTAACGCTCCAAGTTTCAATAACCCTACCAATATTCAAAGACATCATGTCAATGTTGCTCACGAGTTTACATGAAAAAGACAACTTTAGCCTCTCACTTCATTAGAGGTGTATGCACGAAAAGAAAAGGAAACAAAGAAAATGAATGAAGAACTTTTGAGGGAAGGTTATGGTAGTTTGGCTACATTTTCCGTTAATTACTGTTTGAAAACAATTTTTTAATGACTGTTTATCAATCAAAAAAGTTTCCTTGTTTTCTATAGTATGCTACTTTAGTATCAAGATCACCATACCTCCTTCAAAAGTTAGTGCTTGCAAGTTCATACCTTCAACAAGTTCTGATTCATTATGATTTTGAAACATAATGGAGGTCTTACAACATTTTCTTTTGAGATTATAAATGACAGTAAAAATTTTTTTGAATATAATCTTCGACACAGACAAAGACCTGTTTAGGCGCTGCAGTCCTAGCTGGCGCGGTTATTTGGCGCCTGCAGAGCTGGAAGCAGCGGATAAGCTGATGTGAGAAATAATTGTGCCAGGGCTAATCAGCCGCGACGCCGCGGGGCCAGCACTGACCAAGGTCTATGTTTTTACTTGTTTTCTGAAAGCATGAAAAATTATTAGCTAAAAGTCCTGGAAATTTCGCTACTATTGAGCAGAGAGAAAGCTAAAGTATAAACTATCATGTTAAAGGAATTTTCTACTAAATAATATTGAATAGGTCATCTATGGTCCTTTAATCTGGGGTTGATTCGCGAGTGCTATTGCCCAGAGCAGCGAACGAGTACACGTTTTGCAGTCTACGAACAATAGCACTAGAAAGCAGTAAACAAGACACATTACACAATCCTTCTACCTAGGATAAATATAGAGTTCGAAACAGCCTTGTTCACCATTTCATCGATTATAATCACTCTAGAAAAAAGTACTCCTGATTTCACCTCTTATAGTTTGGTGGGATGATGGCCTCATTTTTTTGCACACTACGGTATCTGCGCTTTCTTTCCGTAGTTACAGAAAGAACTTTTTTCACACGCTTCATTCACGATCCCTCGTGCGTTTTTGCGCCTTTCCTCCGTGCCGCGGATCACGTGCTGTTGCATTTCCAACATTAGATTTTCTGGTTGGTTATTTCGCATTGCAATATTTAGATTCGTAGCAATAGCACTAATATTTTTCTCTGTATGATCTATATGATAAGTGTTGAAAATTCTGTAGTTACGTTACCGTTGCATATATTTTTCGAATGGTGTAAGCTCTTTTGAATATTTTCTTTTAGGTTATGGGTAATAATCAACCCGGCGGTTTTAACAAACGCGACCGTCCTGGAGAAGGTTTTGCAGGTATGCAATTGCAGTTCTGTGCCAACACGCTTGAGTTTTATAACTTGTGAAGCGGCACAGATTTACTTTTACAATAAAATTTAGTAGTATTAGAAGAAGTTGCATTTTATTTGATATATTCTCACATTTCTCATTTTTTAAGGTAATCAAAGTAGTAAAGTAGGTAATCAAAGTCCTTTCTTTGCGAAAGGCGTAAAAGGGTA